ACTGCAATTTTTGCATTAATTATTATTTTATCTTTTACTCGTTCATGATATACTAAAGAAAGCACCGAGGAAATACTAAAAAAATGATAAAACGCTTAATTTTACGACTCGGCAATTAAGCGCAAAATCAAGTCAAACTTCCATTGATCATTAAAAAAACAAGAAAGCTCCATCATGATTCTCGTCCGCGGCAACGATTTCAGAGTATGGAAGCAGCAAGCTCTGTAAGAAACTTTCTGTATGGACAATCCCGAGTTGCGATAAACGCCTTGCTGTGAGAGCTTGCTGCGCCTGCAATCTGCAGGAACGCAATTTTCAATGCTGCAGCGTTCGGAAGTTTTTGAAAGAGAAGGAGTCGTAAAGCAAGATCAGCAAAATATTTTCTACCATTTTAGGACCTTACGCGAGCAGGATTCTCTTTTTTTTTCGCAGTCAATTATTTTTTCGCTCTGACTCTTCTGATTCCCTGTTTAACAATAAGTGCCTAGGCCGCGAAGCTTCAGGGAAAAATTCCATCCTCTTATCAATCCTAGAAAAATACGTATGAATTTTGAACACCTGAGGCATGAAATCAACTATTTTTAAGGCATAATCATCATAGGAAAATCATACTTTGGCCGGCCCGCTCCTAATAGCTCCTAATAGACACCGCTCAATAGATAAGACTCTTTTGACTGAGACCTTTCATAGTCTTATTTTTAGGAAGTATTTCATCTCTCAGCTTTGAAAATCCTCTTTGAGGTGATTTAGAGTATAAATAAACTGGTCAGACGCTGACATTAAAAGGCTGCATTTGGAGTAGGTCGACTACAACATGACAAGTGAATTTCTGGTGATGAGTGAGCAATAAATTGATAAACTAGCCAAAATGGAAGGTTTGAAGCATCCTGGAATTTGCGAGCTTCAAGATTTCCGAACAAGACAGTGCTAGTGAAACTGTGAGGATGAAAAAATAAACTGTTGGTGAGAACTTACAGATCTTTGAAAGCGCACACCTTAAGGTGACGTCTTTGATTAATAATGGAGATTGAACGAAGGAACACTAAATTAAATATTATTTGGAGGATTGCGGGTGAGATAGGCAAATAAAAAATAGGAATAAATATTTATGCCCGGATTGCTTACCAACTTTAGGTTATTTTAGGTCGTGCGAAGCCAGGGATCGCGAGGTCGACTAAGGAATCTACCCCAAGAAACCCGAATTTCATGTTCCTGACAGACCCCCCCTCCCCCACTATTCTTGGCAGGGCCGGATTTACCTACTTGCCGTCCATGGGCCTTCTGTATTTTTCCGCCCCTTTCTCATTCGTTTTGAAACATCAATACACGGAGAAAAAAAACTCGTGCGTGAGACCCGAAGTTTAGGTCATATGGATCTCTGAAGTTTTCAGATTGAGCATCTGAACACTTTAGGTCTAGCTGCCGAGGTTCGGATCACGCATCTGAAACTTCAATTCTTACATCTGAAGTACTTCGGTTCTCACATCCGAGGGACTTCGGTTCTCACATCCGAAGTACTTCGGTTCTCACATCCGAAGTACTTCGGTTCTCACATCTGAAGTTCTTCAGGTGTAAGAACTGAAGTTTCAGATGTATGATCCGAACCTCGGCAGCTAGACCTAAAGTGTTCAGTTGCTCAATCTGAAAATTTCAGAGATCCATATGACCTAAACTTCGGGTCCCACGCACAAGTTTTTTTTCTCCGTGTAGATCGTATTCGACATTGGTTCGATGTATCGTTTGGCTCAAAACAATAGAACATGACCTTAAACAAAAATTTTAGGATTTCATTTGGAAAAACTGAAAATGAGAAAATTCCTAACAATTTCACTTTTCATTGTCATTTGGTACTCGAGAGAATAAGAATTCGATCACATAAGACCCGTTACCTCAGATTTCTAAATTGACTTTTGAGGCTGTGGTTACATATTGAACCAATCGTTATAATTATAATCTCACCTGTGTGATCTGTCGAATACGATTTATCAAAACCATCAAGTGAATGTGCCGGTGGCAGAGGGGTGTCTGAGACGCGTTTGCGTTTACTCTTGTTAGCCACATTTTTTGTGAAAGCCCTGTCAACACTAACAAAAGTTCAGTTCCGTAAATCCATCCCTGTTTGGACAAGGCCGTCCATTTATAAAAAACGAACAAAAAAATTATGAAAGAACAAACATAAACGTGGTTAATAATTTTAACCTCCGCCGCTGCCCGACCGCACTGTGTTGGCGCAATGCGTGAAGTATTCATGCAGTCTTGTAGGCACTATGCGTTTCACGCCGACCGCTGCTGACCACACTGTTTGGCGCAATGCGTGAAGTATTCATGCAGTCTTATAGGCGCTATGCGTTTCAGGCCGACCGTCGCACCGCTCCATTCCAGGTCAAATTTTCCCAGGTTTCTCTCTTAACTCGACTAATTAAAGGTGATGTCTCTTGTATCAACGAAAGACGACAAAATTAGAAATTACTATACCTTCACTCCCAAGAAATGAGAGATTTTGCCGCCTTTTCTCGTTTGTATTTTATTTTCTGAATCCGATTTTTCTCTCTCTTTTTTTTGATACCTACATCCAAAAAGATTGCAAAATTTGCTGCCCCTTACATTTTGCCGCCATGGGCCGCGGCCCGCATGTGGCCACCCCTTCAATTTCTCTTTGGAAATTGACTTACATTCTCCGAAGAAAGGTAGTATGTTAGGTAATTGACGACATGGAATCCGAATTCCATGGTCTCCACGCTCCGCTGACCATCATTGGGAAAAGTTTAGGAGGGCTGCATCTGCGCAAGTACAAAGTCAGGTAGAGCCATCATATTTCATTTTGATGATAAAATTTCAAAATCTTGAAGGAAAACCCCAATTTTAGGCGCCCTGAAATTTGGTATCAATTAAAGGAAAATAAAAACGAAAAAACATTTTTTTCTCTTTTGGGAGGCCGCACAAGAAATTATCAACAATTTTAAACAAGTAGGTACTCACTTACACGTTAATTAATTGACGTGCAAGTGAGTACTTTTTTAAAATTGTTGGTATCAATTACCTAGGATATTACCCTTTTCCGAAGAATCTAAGTCAATTTTGTGACCAATGAGAAATTTCTGGAGGGGGCACCTCGCCACCACTCTCTCTATAAGATGTTACTTTTCGGTGATGAATGGGCCAATTTGAACTTTTGAGGATTAATTAAGGTGTCTATATTTTTTGCACTCTTAAATTTTGATGTAATCCATTTGCGATTTGTAAACGCAGCCCGGACTTTTAAATTCGAGCCTTCCCCGTTTACCACCCCAGGAGGGCTTTGGGGCCATAGAATTTAGATTCTTTGATAAACTGGGCAATTTCACAAGGAGGTTAAGGTTAAAGTCCAGTCCTAGTAAATAGGGAGATGAATGGAGAAGGGGGGGGGGGGGAGTCGGGGATCTGAGGTTGAAAAATTATTATGAAAGGAAGATGCAAAAGGTAAAACAATGTCCTGTTTTTTGTGGACAATATTATTGATTCACATGAGGTGAAAGGTAGGCAGTTAATATTCTCAGTCTTAAATTTTTAATCGTCGAAACAGATTCCTCTAAATCAAGTGACGGAGGCACTTTTATAAGTTTTTTATTTTGATCTCTTTTATCAGGAGCATGACAAGCACCTAGAAGGAGAGGACCTTTTCTGTTAAAAATTACGTAAGGCAAAGTGTTTGCCCCCTTCATTTTCAAAAATGGCCTCCATATGACGATAAAGCTGCTTATTTATTTCTATTCGTGCCGGGTGCAGAAACTTAGTATTTAAAGCGATCTTATATTATTGATGATGCCTGTATTTAAACTGCAATTGAAATAAATCATGCAAAAGGAACCCTTCATTCGTGGCTAAAATTAAATGCCACATTAGGTACCATTATACCATAATTGTGTCATTTCAAATGCAGATTTCTTTTGTGGTTGAGCCAGAAATACCTGACTGTTCCTCATCACAGAGCATGGCCGGATTTACCTACTTGCCGCCGCGCCCATGGGCCGCCTGTATTTTGCCGCCCTCTTCTCATTCATTTTGAAACATCAATAAAAACCATCAAGTGAACATGCCGGAGGGAGAAGGGTGCATAAGACGCGTTCACTCGTGTTGGACACATTTTTTGCGTAAGCCCTGTCAAAAAAAAAAAAAAAAAAAGTTCACGGAACTTCGCACAAAAGTTCAGTTCCGTTAATCTATCTCTGTATGGACACGGCCTTTCATTTGTAAGAGATGAACTGAAAAATTAAGAAAGAACAAACATAAATGTGGTCTAATAATTTTAACTTCCGCCGCCGTGTCGCGCTGACCACTCTGTGTTTGGCGCAATGCGTGAAGTATTCATGTAGTCTTGTAGGCACTGTGCGTTTCACGCCGCGCCGACCGCTGTTGACCGTACTGTGTTTGACGCAATGCCTGAAGTATTCATGCAGTCTCGTAGGCGCTAATATGTATTACATGCCGACCGCCGCGCCGAGGGCTTCTCCTTTTCATCTCAAGTCCTTGTTATCATTTCTCTCTGCGTCGCGCCGCTCCAGGCCAAATTACGTGTTTGGTTTCTCTCTTAACTCAACTAATTAATGTGCAGTCTTTTGTATCACCGAAATACGACAAACTTATAGAATTTCATGAGCTCTCAGGAAATGAGAGATTTTGTCACCTTTTTTTGTTTGTTATTTTATTCTGAATCCGATTTTCTTGTACCTGCATTTAAAAAAATTGCAAAATTTGCCGCCCCCTGATTTTGCCGCCATGGGCCGCGGCCCATGTGGCCACCCCCTTAATCCGGCCCTGCTACAGAGTGTGGTTCAATTGTTGAAGCATGAACTCGAACTGATGTTCATCAAACCAGGGTATTCTGCAATTTCCGAGCAAGTCTTGCTTAGTCATGTGAATTAACTTATTTTGCCTCCTTAATAATTTGGATTCAACTTATTTTTTTTTTAAAAAAAAAAAAAGATGACAGGATAAAAAAGTAAGGATTTTCTAGCCTCACCGAAGTTTTAGTATGTGCAGATTTATTTACGTAATAACAGAATTAATAATTTAACAATCACATAAAGAACAGGAATTAACATAGAGTTACAGGAATTCATTTTCTAAATGAATACAATTTTGGTGAAAAAGCTTTTCATAAGTAGTTTTAACAATTAAATTTGCAATTTCATAGGATAAGAAGGGGCAAGATCTATAAAAGCATGCGATCAATTATAACCCACAACTTGTTTTGTTTTGATAATCACATAATTATATACACTATATGCGCTCCGGAAAAACTACCCTTAGGCGTTGTTTTTATTCGAGAATAACGTCAGTTTTCGACAGTGAACGAATGAAACTGTTTTTCTAAATGGCTTTTCAATCAACTAAACGACAAGAAGTTTGTACCAAATATCTCTTTTAAAAAAAAACGGTAATCCTACTGAAAGCTTCGATTTTCGCTCGTGCTGTGAGCAGATTGGAATTGCAGTCTATTCAAACAACGCAGAACCAACTTCTTAGTGCAGCAGATGCGATGTTTCGTACTTCTCTCTTAAGAGGTGAGGGTGTTATTTTTCAAAACGCATTCTAAAAGTGAAATGAGTTGGCTTGACGCCAGGATTCTTTAACATACTTTTTTCTTAAAAACATTCCGATATCGACTGCGGGGATGTTTTTGAGCACACGTTTTGAAACTGTAGCCTCTTAAAGAAATTTGGCAGTAGATTATCGATTTTATATTTTCCATTTACCATTACTGATAAAATTGTAACAAAAGGAAGACAGAGTAAAGAGAAACGACTTACTCAGCAGGTTGTAGCCTCACACAATTTACTGCGCGGTAAGATAGGCAGACAGAAACGTTGCAGAGTAAGACGGATGGATTGCATTTTGCAATGAGGAACTACTATACCAACTTATTTTAGAACCAAGCATGTGCTCTAGTTTTCCTTATGCAGATAGGTGCTTTTACAGATGAGTCAGAAATATTAGTTCCTCATTGCAAAATAAAGTCCAGATATCTTCGAAAGGATAACTTTTGCTGCATGGAGGGTGTTTTATGGTCTACCTCGGAAATATGCCTAACTTCCAAAATCCCCTCCTTGTCAACAAAACAAAGTTTAGCAGAGCGCATTAAGTCGCAGTTTGGCGAAAAATTAGTTGGGATTGGTTTTGAATACATTACACAAATAGTTGTAAGTTTTTTCCTGTCAAAATCTTAAATTCGAGAACAAATATTTTGAACGTGAGAATGGTTGTTAAACTTCGTCCCTAACATTGACGAGTCTCACGAGGGAATAAAACTTCAACCCTATTTTCCAAATTTGATGTGACTTGGCACGTTCCCGTCAAATTCTCTCCAGTTCTGCCACTTCTTTGTCTAGATTTTCAGTCAGATAACGCCACCGATCAGTTGGGTGTCTTGACTTCACACGACAGGTCACAGTTAAAGCAATCGAATTTGAGTGTAAAAGTTAAGAGTGTGAGTGACTTTAGACTAGCAAACAATAAGTTTCGAAGAGCTGTTTACATTGGTCCTTTTTTGTGGGGAAGTTTTTATATTTTCATCAAAATTACTACCAATCGTGGTCTCTGCCGTACACAATGTAACACAATGTAACGTTATGTACACAATGTAAAAGCAGGAGAGCATGAAAAACAAACAAACTTGAACGAGCACAGCCTAATTTTAGCTCTAAAAATATCACCCTAAATGTTTATTTTCGTGTCGGAAATGAAATTATAAATATACATCAGAGGCTAATTTAAAACATAGTGATTTTAACAATTATAACAAATCCGTTAAAAAATCATCCAACAGTGTTTTTTTATCAATTGCTGAACAAATAATTCATGTTGTTGCAACACAGTATTCCTCCTTGGTTGCTTTCAATGAACTTTTTCTTATCGCAGTTAAGATTGATTCGTTGTTCGTGTGTGAGTTGAAAAAAATGTCGGAGCACCAATTGTTTCACGAAGCTGGATCTTGAGAGGATTGTCAATGAGTAAATCAATTTCTTAAATGCCTCCTCTTCTTCGCTGCGGGCAAAGTCTGAAATAATGAATCATATTATTAGAATCCATGTATGAAAGTGATAAAAATCTGTGGTAAAAGTGGTAAATTTATATCATTCAACGTCTTGCAGGATACAACTACCACTGCTCAACGAATGCTTGTGTTACTTGTAAGAAACTTAAGGCGCTTTAGTGTTCGAAGTAGGTAGCTTGCAGCTCAGTTGTAGGTCATCAGCAGTACTATATGTACTTACATCGTACATTGCGAAGGGTTTTAGAGCAAGGACCATGACCATGGCTGCCTCGGCCCTTCTTTTATTCTACTCTCCTTTAATTTTTTTTTTAAATTTGGCACAATTTAGATTTTTTTGTTCGAAGAATTTACCACCTAAAAGAGTGCTTCGACACACCTATTATAGCTCACACTATATGGGCGTATTTATGTTAAAATAAACTATGTACAAATAAATATACCAAATGCAACAATAATCATGCAAATTTTACATACGATGTTTTTCGATTTTTTTTTTCACTGTGACAGGTAACGAAAAGTCCAGGATGATCGATTTTTATCAAAGATATGACGCGTTTCTCCGTATAACTGGAAGTACAGTGGCCGTTGAACGGATATAATCAGAATCATCCTGATATTAGATGTAGCCTAGTTTCTCATCATGCTTTAGTTTTTTTTTAAAACAGAAAACTGAACAGCGTCCTAACTTAAAATTTCATGAATATGCTTTATATAATCCAACAGAAGCGCAAGAACATTGTTTGTTTAATATTCCGCCAAACATAAATAAAACACGCGAGGAAAATGATCGACGTGCAATGCACCTAGGTTAATTATAGTTGAATCCGTTCAGATATGATTGGTCATCAGAGAGGGCAGATCGGTCGTAAATCGCGAGCAAAGGGGTCAATCGATGAAAGTGATTTGCTCATGTTAGACAGGGCGTAAACTGTGCAGATCAGACCGATACTGCCTGAGGACTTGCAGACTTGGTCATGATGCAGAGAAGACAGGTATGATTATCCTAAGTTTTAGAGTCCGTGCGCGCGCCTCATTTCAAACGCGATGCCCTCTTGTACCTCGAGCCAGGGCGAGTCAGTGGTAATTTTTGCACGTTAGCAAGCTGAGCGTTTCTCATTGAAACGATTGTAAAACAATCAATTTATGATCAACTCTTTATGATCTGTATGTCCATTCATGATATTTTTTCAAGTTGGCAACACGCCTTTTGCTCTATTTTAAAGTACCCATGTGGAACAATCGATTCTTCTGGTTTGTCAAGAATTGATATATTCAATGGGTTTAAATAGAAGAACAGGGTTGAGAGTTACAGGAATTTTCAATGCTTTAAATCAATCACAGTGAAACCTGTTCATGATGGAATATCACGAGACCGATAAATTTCCACATCAGGTTTCTTTACATGCATTTTTATATACCACGGGATCTGTAAAATTTCCGTTAAGATCGGTATTCCGCTCTGAGCAGGGTCCGTTATGAACAGGTTTCAGGTTTTACTATATTGTAGGTACCTAATGAATTTAAATGGTGGAATAATAGTGTTGCCAACTGTGAGAATAGCCACAGGTTGGCGTTAAATCGCGATTACTCGGACGGTAAAGTACGCACCAGCTTCTCTGAGTGAGATCGAATACTTCTTTGCTTATGTGTCCCTAATATTCAATTGGATTGCTTTAAGCAGAAAGGAACTAAGTCACATCAGCCATTGCTATATTTTACTGGATGGAATCTATCACTGAAAAACGGCCTAGTGTAGAATCTTTTGAAAATTTCAGGGGATTTCATTTGTGACGTAAAATAATCCATGAAATTTTCGAAATATTACGCACAACCCTCTCTGATTGTTCGATGTAGTTTCGCAATTTCTGATGCGACTTTATCCTTTTCTCCTTAGTGCGGTTTAATTTGAGGAATGAGAGATAGGGGCTCTGACGAAAATTTGAAACTGGTTTCGAGGGAACAAATGCATTTTCAAAAAAAAAAAAAAATTGCAACAACGCGATTCAACAAAGCTTCCAGTATTCTCATATTTTCGTTTCAAGTAGAATAGGTTGTCGAGTTTCAGTCAAACGATCTCAGTTTGAAAGCATGATATTTGAAATTTCCTCTCAAGATTTATGATAACAAAACAACTTGGTCCATCCATTACCACGATGTGATAACAAAACAACTTGGTCCGTCCAATACCACGATGCTGAAATCAAAGACGTCAAATCTACGTCTTCTGCACTTTCATCTTAGAGCTCACGGAAAAAAGTATCATAATCCCAACTATACTCCTAGCTGATTTTGGCGCCAGATATTAGAAGAGTTTCACAAGCCAGATTGAAATGATTAAATCAGCCGAAAGTATGGTTGGATCAACTATACCTCTTGCTGATGCCCTCACAGTCAGCATGAGCGTGGTTGGAATAACGTTACTATACCGCTGACTGGTGCCCTTACATTTCTAGCTAGTGCAACTACTCTTATGGCTGGTGCCTCAATCAGCTGGAAGTATAGTTGAGATTGTGATACTTTTTTTTAGTGCTTGATTATTGTCGAACTCTCTGAGTGAATAATCGAGAAGTCTTTAGGTCATACCTGTGTCCTTATTTGATGGAGAGGCCCGTGGACCTGGACGTGGGTGAAGCCGATTTAGCAGTGCCGACGAGGTAGAATCATCCGACGACGGTTAGAGGGAGCCAGAGGGGGCTGCCGCTGCCAGGGAGTGAGAGTGAGTGCTAAGCGGAGTGAGAGACGCTCGGAGCGTCACTAAGCGGCAGAAGCTAAAGCAGATCTCCAGAACCTTCGCACCATTCGCCACGGACCCTGAAGCCGAAAGCAGACCTCACTTTAGCACAAGTGCAGAACAAAATTAAGGGTACTCTGCCCCCCCCCCCCCACGTGACCTGTAGCCTTCACACGCAGGGTGGCATGAAAAGTAAGAAATAAATGAAAGATTGGAAATATCAGTGAAATATTTCATGAAATGTCGCGAGGCTGTGAAATATTTCATATTTTTCAGGGGCTAGATTATGCAACCCGCACTCAAACACCCAAAAATAGAAGAAAATCATAATTTTTACATTTTGCGAAACATGAAGAGGAACTTGTATTTTTTTCAAGATCTTTCATATATTTCTGAAATTTCATGAAACATTTCACGTGAAATTTCAAGATTTAATTTTTCATGAAATTTTGCCACCCTGTTCACACGCAGAAAAAGTTCGGGTATAAGAATCGTAAATACGGTCTTCAATATCGGCAGCACTGTGCGGATGATGTAAGAGTGCTCTCGAGGTCAGGCATCGTTAAAGCTATCCATACCATCGAGTTTTCGAATCAAACAGAATTACAGAAAAACCCCATGGGAGAAACCGTGCGCCGAATGTAAAAAAAGCGAAAACGCCTTCAATTTTGAACATGCAACACGCACATCCGTAAAACACGAATAGTTCCATCAAGGCGCCGCAACCAACTCATTCTCAGTGCAGTATTCGTAGGTCGAAAAAATCCTCAATTTGAATCGGTCATCCTATAAAAGACTTAGGTGCCAGAAATTATAATACGAGCAAGACAGCAAAACACGTTTTAATCAATCCATTCTAAATTTCAGAGCTCTGAAATATTAACGAAATAAATTAATTAATCACATTGTTATATAACCTACGATTTAAAACGAGTCCAATTGTTCAGTTTCTTATGTTTTTCTCGTTTTTTCATTTCTGACGCTTGAGTCTTTTCAGAAATGACCGATTCAAGTATTGGCCTTAGATAATCTGGTCTCTTGTCACTAACTAGTCATACTCTTCCTGTACAATGGACCACATTTTGCAATTATGTATCACTATTTCTGGTTTTATTTCTATCCTTAAAATATTCTATGTACAATATACCTTATATATGTATAGCACATTTTGCAATTATGTATCACTATTTCTGGTTTTATTTCTATCCTTAAAATATTCTATGTACAATATACCTTATATATGTATAGGTACTTTTTTTTTATTCTTCTAATTTTTTCTTCACGAAATTATTACTTCATTTTGAAAACATTTACATTTTTAAAACGTGACAAATATTTGGAAAACCTTTTCCAAGAGACATTAATCTCAATGAGCCGCAGTTGTGCGTACAGAAACTGCAAAAATGAATAAAAGAGGGGAAAAAACCAAGAAGCACGCAATGTATAGTTTTAACGCATTTGTACATCGATCTTTTAGAGTCAAATACGTCAAATTTTGAGCGTTTGGATGCGCGTACACCTCGCTGCAGCACAATAAAAGCACGAAATGTAAAAGAAAAAAGTAAAGTGCTTTGGAAATCATTAAATTTGACACGGAACCACCAATATTTAAAAAACACACATTATATTATTCTTCTCCTTTGATAAATTGATACATATTTTTTCCCCATCAATTTAAATGAGAATAATCAATGCAGAGTGTGCAAATATTTCAAAATCATGAGTAAAAAAAACGCTGACTGTGCGAGTGTAAATATTAAAGCCTAACAGAGCGGAGCGGCGTGGTGCCAGCGCGAGAGGCTCACTGGCGCCTACAAACCTAAGTGGATACTTCGCGCATTGCACAATGCTTGAAGTATCCACTTAGGTTTGTAGGCGCCAATGCGCGTTTGGCGCTGGCCGCCCGCCCGCCGCGCGCCGTGCGGTGGAGCCTGAAGCAACTATTTCACAACAGAGGTGTTGCACAGCTTAATACGAAATTGAAAGTATTAAGAATAACAGGCATCCTTTTAAAGTACGGCTCTTTCCTCGGAATATAAATCATGATACTTATCGTACACAGGAAAAATCGAAGAGCCTTTATCTGAGGCAAATATAGAGGTTTATCCGGTTCAGGTATAACAAGGTGGGAATTTCCTGAAAGATAATTAAGTCCTGTTACACCAAAGAGGTGTAGAGAGTTTTAGTGAATTTTGTCTCATGGAATTGACGCTCCCCCATTTTTACCAAAACGCTCAACTATATATTATTCTCCGTTGGACCAAACAGACAAAACAAAAAACAAGCAACCCCTCATTCTTCTAAGACATTATACATTTTCATCCAAAAACGTTGTGAGCAATTGTTGTTTGTATTTACATGTGGGCCAATTAACTTTGGGTCTCAACTGGCACGTGGACCAAAACTCCCGTGCCGAAAAAACGCGTGGACCAAATTACTGGAAAAAACAGGAGCGCGGACAAAAAATCGTTGACGAAATGGCGAAAATCGTTGATTTCCGGAGATAAATAAATAAATAATAGAAAAAAATTAATCGCTGGGAAAGATGGTTATAGGACATTTCGTCAACGTTTTTTTGTCCGCGCACCTGCTTTTTCCAGTAATTTACGTCCACGCGTTTTTTCAACGTGGGTTCTCTAAAAGATATAGTATATATCGACGGCGAAATTCCCAAACCACGTATCTCGGTTTGCAACGTTGCAGACTTACTGTCATACTTTATTTTTTGAAAGAAAAACCACTCAACGTACATTCTCTAAAATATCTGTGATTTTTCTGCTCTGTGCAAAGAAAATTCTGTGAAAACTTCACGAAATGATGTTGATTTGCTTTCAGAAAAAAAGTAATGATAGGAGCGGAGATTTTTAAACACCGCAAACGAGATACGTGGTTTGGGAGTTTCACCGTCGATATGTATGCATCAGTGTTTATTTCATTTTATAAATTGGTTGAGAAAATGAGGAAGTATGGACTATTTTTGTACCTGTTTCGTTGAAAGTTTTGGGTGGTTTGGCGATGCTTGGAAGTCACTGGGACCTCTTTCTGTGGAGCTTCTCCGAATGCTTCATGTTGGATATCGCCGAGACAGAGCCGAAGAGGATTTTCGCCGTGACCTGGACTCTCTTGCCCGAAGATCCCATACCGGACCCGGCACCGCCGCATGCGTTGTTGCGACCCCCCACGCCCCCTGTAAAATTTGAAAACAAAACAATCTGTCAGCGATATTCACGATGGACAATTGGACAGGTATGACCCGTGGATGATGGCGGAATTCAATCGAGCAAGGCACATTGGGACTCAACCCTGGGCTGACCAAGTTAAGTCCTTTAGACCCGATGCTTGCTGTGACTGAATGAAACTAAGAAACAGGATCATATTTAATTGCGAAAAACGTATATTTTGCATGAAATCAATTGGGTTAAAATTAAAATAGTAGTATTGCCTAAACTCGCTTGATTTATTGTTTATTTGTGGTGTTTATGGTATATAGGGCCGTCCAAAAATTACGGCAGGCATTTAGGGGTGGAGGGGGGGTGGTCAAGCGCTGCCTTACGTAAGCCAAACGCTTACTATTGAGAGGGAAGGAAAAACACTTTTTTAGAGACTGACTAGTCCAAATTTCGTTTTTTTTAGACGTGTAATGTTTTTTTGTCATAATATAATTTTTTCTGAACTTTTTGAATTTAAAAACTGGTTATTTTCTCAATACAACTGTTATTCTTCATGATCTTCAGCCAGCGATTAGTAATGTTTAAAACAATACCGATTTGTTTCAACACCATTTTTTCACTAAATTATGCATTTAAACGATAATAGAAGGAAGGCGAGGGGTCTAGCCAGCCTTACGTAATTATTTAGGGGGGTCCAGGCTAGCCTTACGGGGGAAGGGGGGGTTTAAAATCAGAAAAAGTGCCGTAAATAATTTGTGGACGGTCCCTATGTTTGTAGGGCCACATTTGTTCATGATCGTGGAATTTCAAAACCGCGTAAGCGCCATCAGGTCTCTCCAAGATTGTGCAACGGATTTTCTCATTTAACGGGAATCCCAGGTCCTGGGATTGGCAGTTAATGTCATGAAATTAGGGACAAAATTTGGAGGACATTTTCTGATTTAAAGTCCATGAGGCAAAGAAATTCAAAGATTTTTACAGTGATGAGTGACATGAACAATTTAACGTGAAAATTATACGTTAAACATTTCTCGTAAGTTTGCCCTTAAAAATGCTCATGACACAGTAGGATAAGAGATAATTAACTAGACCACACTTTGAAATGCGGTATCACTTCTCTGATTTATCCATAAAAACATCTATCGGTATGAAGAAAATTATGGCACACGTGCCATTTAAAAAATGAGCCAGAAATGGTGGTTCCATACTGTAAAGTAAGTGAAGTGGAAAATTTGACAAGGTATGAGTGTAGGCATTCTGATATATATTTCCTCTTCAAACTTTCATGTAAAGCACGATTTGCACAATGAAAATTATTGGCATTAACTCCTCACCAAGATATTAACGTCTTTACATACTTAGCACTGCGGCCCGATTATTGAATCTTTGTCGATACGACAAGACAAGGCTTATATCATTCTTAACCATGAAATCATGTCTTATCGTGCTGCTTTAAACTTTCAATAATTGGCCCGCTGGTTAGAAAAATTTAAAATCCCCGCTCTTGAAAAAATCAAGAGTCCACGTAATTCAAACCGCGCAATACAATGGTTTTGGAACGCCCCTCAATCGAGCAGTGAGTTGTCCTTTCCCCACCACGTGTCGTTTAATTTGCAACAGCTAAAGCGATGCGTCGAGGTTGAGATTGCTATATTTTCATACCGCAGAGACTGTTACGATAACGCTTAGTGTGCGATTTCAAGTACAAAATGGTTTTTTCAGTGAGCGGGAGGTATGAATTTACGTACATAAGAGTCGCTTACACAGCGCACCCTGGCGCTCTGCGACGCCTCACTGCCACAGTTCTCGGCGCTCCCACAGCCCTTAAGGGTGTTGGCACTCTTTCATTTCATTTAAACCCCCGGTCCCCTTCATCTCCTCCCACACTGGGAAAAGTCTATGGCTTATAAACCAATTAGTGGTTCACAAGGAACACTACTAATAGTAGTGAAGGCAACAAATAACAATAGTACATATACCTTAGTTATGGTAAATATACCATACTATGGTACAAGCCACAGTATGGTTCACAGACCGATAATCATTAGTTCATATGCAACTATTAATGGTGTTCCATATGAACCACTATTATTGGATTATAAGCCATAGTTTTTTCTCAGTGCAGAAGGAACCCAATTGAGCATCTTCTTTGACATAACAGCCTCTCTTCTGTCATCCTGTTAACATAACCGTACTAGACACGCTGTTTGGTCATAACGTCGAATACGATGTCATTTCCGACTTCCATAATCTGACGCACTCTATCATTTCGACCCGACCTCCTCCAGAGATTCATCTCCAAGGTATGAATATATCTTTCAAAAAACGTAAAAACGTATTTCTTGGTTGGGAGTAACTTTCAATCATTTTCGTCGCACAAATCGTGTTCCACAGGAAATTTTTTCGAGGTATCATATATCATAATGCTCAGTTTCGCACCTTGTCTAGTAGTCCATTGAGTTGTAGACTTGCCTCCCTGCGAGGCGGCGCCCGCGTAAGCTGAGCCGCCGCCGTTTTGATGGGCGGCGCCGGGCGTTTGGCCATAGCAGGCCCCGCTGTTGCACTTGGTGTTGCCGCAAGCGTTGCTGGCGCAGCGGCTGCAGTTGCCGTGGCCGCTTCCACTCCGGTTGTTGTTGTTGATGTCGCTCGTCAGCGGACAACCATCGGGCATCTTGGGCCGTCCCAACCGACCAACCGCCGTCCACCACCGATTGATTCAAGTCAGCTGCCACTCAGATCTACAACAGAAAAATAATAAATTATAGCTCAAACTTTTGAATTTTTAGGACCATTCAGGGAGCTTCTAACAGAAAATGCTAGAATGAAATCGTTCACTAAAACTAGAGTCCCTTTATGCTGAGAGTCAAGACAATTCGGCTCATGGATGTCACAAACGGGAATAAAGATTACAGAAATTGAACGTTTTTCGTAATCTTTGATCGGCTCATTCTCAAATGCCTTTCTCCGTTCCTCCTCTCATTCCGTTTGTTCCTTGCCGAACCCGTAATTCCCTGGTCCATTCCAGATTATAATCTTTGCAATTGGTGAAAATGTAATCTTTATTCCCGTTTGTGACACTGTGGAGGCCTAAAATACGGGAACCAATCAGAAATGGATTCAAATTGTCTTGACTCTCAGTATAAAGGGACTCTAACTAAAACTGTAAATTTTGATGTTCGTTTCGTCTCATTTTAAATGTCAAGGGGTGCGCATGGTAGAACATTCCACAAGGAAACCGATGGAAACACTTTTAGAACCTCAAAGTTTTGTATCAACAGAATTATTAGCGTTTAAAGTTTCCAAATTTTGTCCGACCTCCCCTATTGACTCGGTTCATTGGGGGCCGGCGCGGGGCTGACGTGCTCGGCACGAGACGCATAGTAGCGCCTTATAAGACCAAATGATACTTCATGCATTGCGCGTACAGCACGGTGCGCGCGACGCATAGTATAGCGCCTTACAAGTCCGCAGGATACTTCATGCATTGCGCGCACAGCACGGTGCGCGCAACGCATATTATAGCACTTTACAAGTCTGCAGGATACATACTTCATGCATTGCGCGTATACCAAGGTGCACGCTCAAGTCGTTGAAAACTCGTATTTTTTTTGGTGTCGAACCTACCCCGGTCCCCGGTGTACACGATTTCTATTGATCCGATCAACAGTGCGGAGTACCACGTGTTAGAGAGATGCTTATGGAAAACGGGCTTTTTATGCTTTTTGAAGGGACAGCCCCTATTCCCAAAGTAGAATTTTTCAACGGAAAAATCGCGATTTGTTTCGATTTTGTCGGCGATAAAATCGCTAAGATCATCAACATCTGAGCGATTATCCTCGATCTTGTTGCAATAAAATCGCGATTTTATCGCCCGGCAATTTATCGCGATATTATCGCAACAAAAATCGCGATATTATCGCAACAAAAATCGCGATATATGGCGATTTAACCTCGATTTTATCGACGAAAATTGATCGCGATTTTATTGAACAAAAAATTGCGATGCATAGCGATTTAATCGCCATAAATCGCAATTTTTTATTCGATAATATTGCGATAAATTGCCACCGATATAGTCGCGATAATCAACCGATAAAATCGCTATTTATCGCGATTACTGTCTCATAGGCCCGTCCCTCACCTAATAATCGGAACATTTTGAACAATAACGTATAGGGTAACGTTGAAGCTCACAGTCGGAGTGATATTTGCGCTATAAAACTGTTGTTAATGATGATGAATGTTGCATGGCGTTTTAATTCCATTTCATTGTAAATCGTTGGAACAGGGTATTCATAAGAAACAGATTTTTCTCAAAAGTAAAAGGAAATTTCTCATACATCACCAAGCTAATGTCGGCAGAAACATTAACACATACACTGGAAAAAAGTCTCTCGGATTCAGAGTCCTGACGCTTAAAAAAATTGACAAGAAAAAATACTCTTTATTCAATCGGATTTTTGCTCAAGTCAAAAGGAAATCCGCATGAGTTAAGAGGCTTGGTTCTGGATCCAAGCAAAAATTCGGTTGAATCAACCGTATTATTTCTTGTCAAATTTAAAGGGTTTGGGCTCTAGAACCGAGAGACTTTTTTTTACCAGTGTATATAGGCTCTATGTAAAAGCATTTTATGTAGGGATGATTGGTTTGCTTAAGTAGATACATGTACTTAAAGAATATGATACATGCAGTTACAATTGACGATTTCGGAGCCTTGAACGCAGCAGTAGAAAAGTAAGCGAATTTTCATTTAGGTTCGTGCGAGTTTAGGGGACAATTCATCGAGGTTTTAACAGAAAATGCATTATGAAATGGTAAGAGCTTCTTCTGTTCCCTCAAAGTGTGGAATATGAGAAAATATGTTGATTGAGAAACTCGTAATATTTCAGATTTATACCATTCCGAGGTTCTAGCTTCATCTTTCTTCTTCATTTATTTGCCAAGAAATTGACCAAAAATTAAAATAAAAATCTGTACTCATTTTCATTTAAAATTTGCAATTTTACAGCGCAGTTAAGCCTCTATGGCTCCAATCTTTTCACGCCTTATTATAGATACATGTTTCTTGGCTCTCAATGCCTTTCCTTCAATCCACAACAACGCAATTTCTCCTGCTCCGCATCATCTTGTTTTCCCGCCCCTGTCTTGTTATTATACCACACGTCCAAGGACTCCATTTTGGAATAAGGGACAGGTCTCTTTAGTTCATCCATATAAACAAGTGAGGTGGCTTGCTTTGCGATGCATCGATTGTTCTGCCTTTTATACCTATACTTATTAAAGAATCGATTATTAAGGTGTTCGCTACGAACACCCTGATTATCGATCCTTTTCCATACGTTTAAATGGCCTAACAATCGATACATCGCAAAGCTAGCCTCGCCACTGATATAAACCACCTATCTGCTCTTAGAAACCTGTGGCACGTACTTTGCTTATAAAATATGAGCCGGGAACTGAGGTGCCTTTTTACATGATTTTGTCCATTTGATCTATTCGATTAGCGTGGTTCGAGTCCCATACTTTACCCCCAGCATAAGTTTCATTAGTTTTACAATTCCCTTCTTTTGATACTGTAGGCTAATTTAGTGGTCAAAAGCTTATCTGATAGCTTGTCAATTTTTCCATCTTTGATCGATTTTAGCGTGGTCTGGTTCAGTTTTATTAACTGAGGAAATCACTAAAATTGCCTTCTAACAGGGATTATTCAGCCTGATCGTTTACTATATAGACTAAGGGTAATGATTCCTGCTACCCCCGGTCTCACCAGTAATGGCGTTTCTTTGTGATGTTTCAGATGGCATGTTAAGAAAAAAACGACGTAAGAGCACTTGCATGTGCATTATATGTAGAATGCTACTTGGAAAGTTGAAAGTTATTTTAAATTTATTTTCTTAGCACGGTAGCAATGCGGTTACATGGAAAATTTACGGAGCATACAGGAAGCAATAACATAGTATATTCACTGAATGGGTGCACAATCGTTAAGTCAATTGAATATAGAGCTCTGCTCTAGTGAAATTGCGGTGAAAATTTAGGTCTCTGCTATCCTAATTTAATATAGTTTTTCCGGAAACATTCTTCTTAGAAATTAGCTCAGGGAGTTTGATTTCATGAGGAATGATAAAATTAAATTAAAGTAGCAGAATTTTCGGGGAAAAAACTTTAATTGTCGCTTAAAAATTGAAGTATAATCTCAATGTGCCGAAGAAAAACATGCACCGCATGCGTATCTATACTGAAATCACACAAAAAGCATCCTAAAAGTGACTAGAAAATATGGAAAGTGAACTTGATCTGAGACTGACAGCCGCATGTAGAAAACTGCTGTGAAGAACACTGTGATAAAATGAAATGAAAGAAAGTTATAATTTCTTTGCTTTAAAAACCATTACTGACCCCCAATACTGAGGGCAGAGAGAGAGGGGTGTTGAGCAGATCTTTGTCGGCTTTATTAGAGGGTGAAAGGTTTGAAAACAGTTTACGGCGGTAGAATCGCCTTCAACGAGATAAGTATGCAATCCCGCGACGGCGGAGCTCGAATAGTTATCTCACGAAAATTCAGGAGCTTGTTAGCAAACGCCCGTCGCACAGTGGTTCCTCCTCATGGGGAAAGTGAGAAAAACCTCAAGACTACGAGTAATATTAAGTTCAGACTATATTTATGTTAAAAATAAGTCAAATGCGTGCTTTACAAACGACGAGTCGCAACAATTTGCAATTATAAATCATTCTACATCGGCTGCCCTATTAGGCAACGAACTAAACCTCTAGAATGGCTGACTACTAGTGCAAACGCTGCGTAACACTTGAGTGAACAGATTGGCCCAGATATTCCGGACCACATTTCACCAAAAACTGCTGTTTGTCAAACCGCCGTCAACACCTACCAAGCGGCGAGTAGGCCTTCGGCCATGCTCGGCAATCTTCGTAGCCAATCAGGTTGCCGCTCGCCGCCCATAATCTCGAAGAAGGTTCGGCTCCTGCACCACCCACCACCCTACACTTTTCGAATTTAGGCATTCGGCCTGATTCTCTTTTCCTCTTTTCCGTAATTAATAACAATAAAAAATTCATTTAATCATTACTTAGCGGCACCTTGTCCAATTTGTGCCTAGCGCCTCTACAACTTTGCAAATTTGGACGTTACCTTTTGAACATTTCATCCCTTCCCTTTGAAATTACTTTGAACAAGTACACTTCACATATCACACGGGACTTTTATCTGCATATTTACTTGGCTTTACTCGCAAAGGATCTTTTAAGAAGTAAATTCTTTCGATAACTTATTGGGGATGGTCAAGTCACCAATTAGAGCCCGTCATTCCATGCCATTATTATTACAGGACTAGGTTTCTTACCTATAATTTGATGGGCACCGTGAGAATAATAGATAACCGTATTTGATCCGTGCCTTAAAAAATGAACTGCTGGTGGCAGAACCATCTTGGTGATGTTCATTAGGAATTTTAGACTTTATTCTATTTTTTCAGCAGATGAACCTTACATGGTAACTTGTAAAGTTTTGCCTCATTTTCCTTGAGTTCTACTTAGTTTGATGCCAAAAAACAAGAAAATTCATGGAGAAACGTGCCTTAAAGGTGATAGTTCCCCCTCATACTTACTATCAGAGTTCCAACGGAAAAAATCTTGTTGTCATAGGTAAATACGGTTTCCATTGCTTCTTCAGCTGTTAATAGACAACTATGCGGGTTTGCTGAAGAATTTGGTGACTGCT